CCCCAAAACCCCAAAACCCCAAAACCCCAAAACCCCAAGACCCAGATATAAATTCAATAATTTATGTTAAAAATGGGATTAGTCAAATTTTATAGAAATAAGACATAGAATAGTTAAAAATTCATTCATTAATTTCATTAAGGTAAGATAGATCAGTTTCTATTTCTATCTTTAGTCCCTCTGGGCAGTAAATATCATCTTCAATATTTGACTTCTTTTTTGCATTTCTCATGTATTTTTCTAGCTATTTATCATTATCTATGATGTATTCCTTGTAGCCAATGTAGTTGTGAGCCATCGGTATTGTTCCTCTGAAGATCTCAATATTCTCAATCGTCTGCTTGTATTGCTTTTTATTTTTCTTAAGTACCTCAGAGATACCTGCCTAAGTTTTCCTGCCATGGAGAATTGGGTAGTCCAACTAAATGAAATCTAGCATGTGCTGAAGTGTCACCTTTTTGTTATGCTTCAGAGAGCATTCAGCTACATGTCTAATTAGTCTTATAGGTGCTTTTTTATCAGAGAATTTTATTTTGCAAATCCTACATCGATGCATTATTTCAGTTGAGCTTTAGTTCTTTGGTCTCTTCTAAAAATTCAAAGACTAGTCAGATACTTCAACATGCTTGGCCATGTGCCTGTAAATAATATAACTATATTAAGCTTGGTAATCACAGATGGTGCACTATTTTTGACCATTAGCTCTTCGAGGCTTATCACTAATAGCCTTGATGTACAGTTCCTTAATTTTAAAAACAGATTTTGACTGCAGTTACTGCTAATCACTATTTGAAGTGTATTTCAAAATTAGGAGTTAATTATTGGCATGTTTTTGGTATTCATCTAGTTATCTATGTTTTAGCTTTATTAATAGCTTTTCATCTCTTTTTCTTAGTCGACTAGACATAGCTCTCTGCTAATTAGAATTTCTCATATCTTGACTAAGACTTTCCTTAATTTATTACAAAAAACTCTACCTTTGTTGTGCCTATGATTTTTCTTCTTCCTCATCATGATTATTATACTCTATATTTTCCTTTTCTCCTACTTTTTATTAAGACTCAAATCTGCCCACTGAATCATTATTTTTTGAGTCTTGATTATTAATAGCTTATAGATTCTCTCCATTATCTTCATTAACTTCTAATTATCTAAATTATTCCTATTATTCCTATTAAGTGATTAGCTAATTCTAAATCTAGCTCTAATCATTCATCAACGGAATTTCATCTCCTTTTTCTAAGTTCTGTTGATTATTTCCTTCATCAACAGTTTAATCTGGAATTTCTTATTCATCTGCTACCTTTTGATATGTAATCTTGCTTTTTTCAGGCAAGACAGAGATATTGCTCTCATCGTCAGCTTCAAATATCACGCTACATTCATTCCCATTCAGATAACTTTCTTTTAAGCCAATCAATTTTTTAGTTGAATTTGATTAGCCTTAATTTCCGAGGAGATTCTGTCTGCGTCTTTTGAACGTTTGAAGATCACTAGGTTGAACTTCCTTCGTATTTATGCTATTCTTTACGTTAGAATTATTAACGCAATTAGCTGGCTTCTATTCAGGCTGAAATGTCTTTTAATTTTAATTCTTGGCATTCTAATATATATTTGAGTAAGGATTGTTTATTACTTGATTAGGATTTGCTGCTGAGTTTTAACCAGGTAGAGTTTCTAATGCATTCTAAAATTTGAAAGAAGTTGAGTTTAAGAAAGAGCGCTTTCTTAGCAACTATTTTGACTTATAGAAGTCAAGTTTAGATTGCATTAAATTCCCCATATTCGTTTTCTTGTTCTTTAAAGACTGCTAGTTTATCGGTTGGTCTGAATATCTGTATTCAGGACTCATAATGAAAGGAGATAGTTGGAACTAATTTAGTTTGCTCTAATCCACAACGTCACTTTTGTTGTTTACCTCTGTTGTCTACTCTAACTAAGTCTGCTGAATCTTATTCTACACTTCTGGAGTCTTAATGTCTGCTTCTAAAATAATCTGTTGTATCTCTTGCAATGTGACTAGCAAGAATAGTTCGGATTATAGCTGATTAATTTATTGCTGTTTTTTAAAATCTTCGAGTTTGTGATCAATAAAAGTTTTGATTTATTCCATCTACTTAAATAAATACTTTCAATTTATTTTAATGATTATATCATAATGGGGTTTTGGGGTTTTGGGGAGATCGGAAGAGCACACG